GTGGGCCAAAGTTTCTATGTTATTGGTGAGAAATCATGGGTGCTTTTTTGTGAAAATTTCAAAATTTTGCTCCCTTCCAATTTTTAGCAGAGCCGCGCATTGAAAATTTTTTAACCATTCCCGGCACAGCACTTGTCAAGCCTAGCACCACATGAATTCCAAGCCTTCCATACTTGCCAGGCTACTTTTCCAAATATTGTTCTCAGATCAGAGCCCTCGAAAGTTCAATCGCAACCTCCCCTGCACCTTTCTCCTTCTATCTCTCTTTCCCTCTCTATCAATTTTCAGTTTCCTGTAGACATATGGTTCCCCTCTTCCTCTCTAGCATCCAGATCTGAATTTATACAATCATGGACACACTTTAAAGACCCTTCCGATGCAATGGCAGACTTCAAGGAAAAGGGACAGTGTAGGTTTTTAATATGTTATTTTCATCTCTGTTTTGTCAATTGCCTTTTTCTTGCATGTTTGGTCAATTTAACAATTGCAAGATAAACTTTTTGAAATTGTAGGCTTCTACTTCAGTGGATTAGAGTGAATGGGCATCTCAGTTGGAGTAGAGAAAGGGGTCTTACTGGAAGGCAAAATGAAAACGGCCCGTCAAAATTTCAGAACTAAGATTTCAGGTAGTCTCCAACATATTTTCATACTAGAATTCTTCCTTCCACGATTTGATTTTTCCCCTGCTTTGTCGTATTGTTCAATCTCCTCTCTTTACCACTCTCGTTTCCATTCCTCCGTACCTCTCGTTGCCCAGCCCTAATTGTCCCCTTTTGTTGTCCCAAACCCCCTGTATCTTACACAATTTTTGAATGCTAAACACTGATTATGACGTGTTCTAAGATTTAAGCCTTATTTATTCGGTGACTTATCTGAAATTTTGGATGATTTTCTACTCCGGTTGGTGATTAGGATTGATGGTGTAGGTGATTTTGCTTGTCTTTGGACTGGTTTGTGGTGGTTCATCATTATCTATTGTTTTGTGTTTCGGTGTTGTAGGACCATTCATGAAGCATATTTTTTCCCTTCTTTTGGGTTAATTCTAATGCTTTCATTGCGTTGCATGTGATTCTCTTAGGTGATAACTTCTCCTCCTCCTGAATGTTTGTGCAAGTTTTAATGCCTTTGGTCTTTTTGCTTTTTGATGATTTAATTTTTTGTTTATTTCTTAACTAAAGATCTAGTAAATAGAATATAGTTTTCTTTTAAGTGAACATACTGGACAAAAATAATAAGGATTAAAAAAAAAGGATCTCATTGGCTATTTGCACCTTGGAAGCCTTGTTGGTAGTAAAATCTAATTCCTTTTTCCAAGTTCATTTCATGCTTTCCAAGTCCGAAAGTTACGCTTGTTTAGCTACTTCTCAATTTTGAATGAGTGAATGCATTTACTATTTTTGTGTTGAAGGAAACAGCCTTGGCGTTACTTTACGATTGGTTTCATGTCAATTGGGGTCATAATGATTTCTTCATCTTAAGTACATGCTACCAACTTGTAGTTTGAAATTCAGTTCACATTTTGTACTTGTGGTTAATAAAAGTGATCCTTAGCATTTCTTTTAAAGTCCCTCATTTTCATTTCTTTTCATGCAACAATATGAGGATCAATGTCTTAGTTGATATATGTAGGCTAATGCAGGTTTAATTTATCTAACTACCAATGTAAATTTCTGTTTAATAATTTTTTTTCCATTGGACTCTGTAGGTTGATGGTGGATTGTAGTAAACCTGGCTATGAAGCTCTTACAAGCTACTTCGATTATGGACTTCGCCAATTAATGCAAACATGATACTCATTGTATATCGGCACATCGTCTATCTTAGCATTTGTTATCCCTGGCAATTTTGGTTGTACATATTAAAGCCTAATTAGGATTTGATTTGAGTATCTTTGTGCTTTGTACTGTTGATAGTATTGGTTGTAATATATTGTTGCTCGTTTTGTATTTGTAATGACAAATTGGTTTGTTATTTCGAATAAAATTTTTGCTATATCTCAATATTGACATTAATGATACCTCTTGCTAGAAAAATGGTTGAAAAAAAAAAAGTAGCAACTACAGTCACAAAGCTGCCTTTGGCAACTTTCTTGCAAGAAAATCATTTAGTTGCATTTGATCGTCTTTGGTAAGGGGTCGATGGTTTCTAATTAAAGAAGTTACTTGTTTATGACAAAATGGGCACTCTTTTCTTATAATGGAAAAAAGTCATAAAGAATTGGTGTTTTATTGAAAAATGAGTTTATTTTTATTTTATCCGATAAACAAATTTCTTTTTGCTTTCAAAATAGGTACTCTGTTTTTATAATGGAGGAAAATCATAAAGAGCTGGTGTTTTATTGAAAAAATGGGTTTATTTTATCTGATAAATAAATTTGTTTATGGAAAAATGGGTACTCAGTTCTTAAAATGGAGGAAAGTCATAAAGAGCTGATCTTTTATTGAAAAACGGGTTTATTTTTATTTTATCCGATAAATAAATTTATTTATGAGAAAATGGGTACTCTGTTCTTATAATGGAGGAAAGCCATAAAGAGCTGGTCTTTTATTAGAAAATGAATTTATTTTTATTTTATTCAATAAATAAATTTAGTTATAAAAAAATGGGTACCCTGTTCTTATAATAGAGGAAAGCCATAAAGAGCAGGTCTTTTATGGGAAAGTGATACTTTACACAAAGTGACTGCGATTTGGTTAATGAAATAATCCCAAATAAAAATTTAGAATGAATTTATTTATTTTGAAAGTTGTATAACGGTCGTTAAAACTCCAGAGATTGGCAAAAAAATTTTGGGGTTGCAGAAAGACAGAGCGAAGAAGGAGAAGAATTGAGCCTTTGTTCGTTGCAATTGTTCCATTAAAAATGGCTCTATTCGGTTTTACCCATTTTTTGTTGGGTAAAATCGTTGGTTCTAACGATCAATTCTTCATTTCCCGTCAATTGTCCTTAATTGGCCAAAATTACGAAACTTTGAGGATGCAATATGTTTGGGGTGAAACTTTGAGGATGAAATTGGCCAACCACCCAAACTTTGAAGATGAAAAGTGCATTTTTTCCTATAAGATATTTAATCAAATGTTATTTCTTATTTTAATTTTAGTTATGACTATACTACATATTTATTAAATAGACATATTTTATAATTAAACTTAATATTTGATATTTTAGGATGCCATATATTTAAATAGATGAAAATTATTTTGAACATAACATATTAAAATAATTTTATTTATCAATCATTTTGGCCCTCCCTCCAAGAAAAAAATCTTGGTTTCGTCACTGCCTAGGAGGAAATTAGGGTCTATTGCTAACAAAAGATTGTGAAAATTTACCTTTACATCCTAATTATTTGGAAAAATCTAATGAACAAATTTTGCAAAAGAAACCTTGTTTCTTACCAACAAATTAAGTAACTAATAAAATCACCTTTAATATTGCTTTAACATATTTAATTTATGTTAAATACAAATTTTACCAGTTTCTCTTTTGTAAAAATATAAGTGTATCACTTTTTCAATTTTAGTTACAAACATTTATGTATTTTACATAAATGTAGTGATTCAGAGTAAAATGCCCATAAATAGCTAGTATTTTGCTGATGTAATGCAAAAAAATCCATAAAGAGCTGGTATGTTTTGGGCGCAATCTTTTTTACTTTCACATATTTAAAATTTGTTAAATGCAAAATCTACTAGTTTTCCTTTCGTAAAAGTATACTTTTTCAATTTTAGTTACAAATATTTATGTATTTTACATAAATGTAATGATTCAGAGTAAAATATCCATAAATAGTTAGTATTTTGTTGATGTAATGCAAAAAACTCATAAAGAGCTGGTATGTTATGGGCAAAACTTTTTTACTTTCACATATTTAAAATTTGTTAAATACAAAATTTACTAGTTTTCCTTTCGTAAAAATATTAGTGTAACACTTGTTCAATTTTAGTTACAAGCATTTATATATTTTATATGAATATAATGATTCAGAATAAAATGCCCATAAATAGCTAGTATTTTGTTGATGTAATGCAAAAAACCATAAAGAGCAGGTATGTTATGGGCAATATGTTTTTTACTTTCACAAAAATCAGTTTATGTTAAATACAGGACAATCAATTTTCCTTTCGTAAAAATATTAGTGTAACAGTTTTTCAATTTTAGTTACAAATATTTATGTATTTTACATAAATGTAATGATTCAGAGTAAAATGTCCATAAATAGATAGTATTTTGTTGATGTAATGCCCATAATCGGGAGAATCAATTGGAATTCACTGTTCCTCAGCCTTGGACACTTTATGTAAAGTAGAGATATTTGTATTCAATTAAATGTGAAACGAGCAATAGTCTATCTTCCCACAAACTCAGTTTTCACAAATGTTAATATTTTACTACTATAACAATTAAAATCAATTTTAATAATTCAAATTTAGTAGATTAGATAAAAGTTGTTAGAAAAGTGAGAAATCAAAAGAAAAATAACTCAAATTTATTAAAAGTCCAGAAAGGATTCAGTACTTCAGCTATAGAAGTCCTCCAAATGACTATATATTAGAACGTCTATAATCAAAATAAATTAGATAATTAAAAAACTTAATATTTCAAACATTTATTTTCTTAAGTTTCACTTCTTAAAGGCTCTCAACTCCTTATTCATTAATGACCATATGTTGTTTCAAAGCCAAGCATGGCTGTGTTTAGTACTGCTTACGCTTCCTTTTCGGTGTTTTATTCTTAGGCCCTTTATATTTATATTAATTTCGTGACACTCCAACACATTTCCAGCTTCTGCAGTACGCAACATTTCCAAACCCCGGTTATAGGTCACCACTTGCTTTTGTAGAAATATTCCCTTCTTGGTCCGTATATATCAGGTTGCAACGTGCTGCCTTCTTTGTCATATGCTTTACTTTCCACACTTGTCTTGAATTATCCGATTACACTACAGAATTTAACGTGAAGCCGGGGGGCAAATTGCAAAAAGTGGAAATACTTGGAAGTGTAAAAAGTTGTGTGGAAAATTTTCATTCCCGCAAGTGTTAGCCTCCACACATTTTGCTGCCCTTAGTTGCCAAAGTTGAACCATATCCTTCCTTGTCTCATCGCAGAAAGCATCCCCTCATCACCATTGCAGAACACTTTCATCCTAATTCCAATCCCAAGCGAGAAAAAATGGCTGATGCTGCTGTTAGTGCTACTATTCAGGTTGGGTTGCAGACGGTTGTTTCCCTTGCCGCTGATCATGTTAATCTGGTTCGTGAATTCCCAACGGAGCTGGAGAGACTCAACGATTCTGCTGAAATGATCCGAGGCTTCTTGGCCGGTGCTGATGAGGAAATGCATAGCCATGATCCGAAGCTTGTTGGGGTACAAAAGTGGCTCAAGCAGCTGGAAGAAGAGGTTTTCAAAGCTGACAATGTGCTGGACGAGCTCAACTATGAAAATCTTCGTCGGAAGGTGAAGTATCAAAATCAACTCACGAAAAAGAAGGTATTCTTCTGCTTTTCATTCTTTAATAAAATTGGTTTTCGTTGGAGGTTGGGTTCAATGATCAGGGAGATCAACACGAACCTTCAAAGGATCCATCGGGATGCCGAAGGTTTGGGACTGGCCTACAAGCACCAAGTTGAAGTAGCATTCGCTACTATAGCAGCTGGAGCCACAACAAGCCGACAGACCGACTCTACTATTGTTCGAAGAGATGTCCTAGGAAGAGACGAGGATGAATCAGAAATAGTTAAGAAGTTGTTGACCGAAACTGAAAGTGTTATTTCAGTTATTCCCATAACTGGCATGGGTGGTTTAGGCAAAACAACTCTAGCTAAAGCCATTTACAAAAATGAGCAAATTGTTGGGCATTTTGACCAAACAATGTGGGTTTGTGTGGCTGAAAAAGTAGATAGAATTGAGGTGGTCTTCAAAATGATTCTAGAATCGTTAATAGGAGGAAAGGTTGAAGGGGATCGTAGGGAGGTAATAGTTCAAAAAATTCAGCATGAACTCAAGGAAAAAAGATATTTCCTTGTTCTTGATGATTTGTGGAATGATCAAGAAGTATTGTTGGATGACTTTTTCAGCACTTTGGCGGGACTCAATGCTAAGAAAGGGAGCTGGTGTCTTGTTACCACTCGTCTGCAAGAAGTGGCAACTATTCTGTCTAGACATCCGCCGATCAATTTTACTCGCCATGAGATAGGAAGGCTATGCAATGATGACTGCTGGTCTATCATGAAAAAATGGGCAAATGTGGCGGAAGAAGTACCAAAAGAATTGGAAGACATAAGGGAGCAAGTTTTAAGAAGATGTGATGGTCTACCTCTGGCAGCAAAGTTAATCGGAGGTTTGTTATCTAAAAAGAGAAAAGAGGAGTGGCTATCTATTTTGGAGGAGAGTCTCTTGAATGGAGATCAAGGTGGGATTGAGCAAATAATTAAGGTGAGTTTCGATCATCTGTCACCTGCACCGGTTAAGAAATGTTTTGCATATTGCTCAATTTTTGATCAAGATACTAAATTGGAACAAGATCTACTAGTTGAGCATTGGATGGCTGAAGGCTTTCTTCAACCGGATTCCCAAAATGAAAGAACGATGGAGAAAATAGGATATGAGTATCTGAGAACTTTGCTGCAAACTTCCTTATTGGAAGAAGTTAAAGAGAAGTGGAGAACATGGTATAAAATGCATGATCTTGTGCACGATTTTGCAAAATCAATTTTGAATCGTAACAGCAGCAATCAGGACCGTTACCTTGCGGTATACTCACCCGAAAGAATCAATGAAAAATCATCAGCATCACTTCGCACATTATTTCTGGAGGGTGGCATAGCTGATGATATGTTATCAAAGCTCAAATACTTGCATGTCCTAAAATTGTTTGGAGCAGATGTCAAAGAGTTGCCGACCTCCATTGGCAAACTAATACATTTACACTTACTCGACATTTCAGGTTCTTGGGTTACAACTTTGCCAGAATCTCTTTGCAAACTTTATAGTTTGCAAACACTAAGAATTGACGCGCTTGAAAAAGGTTTTCCAAAGAAGATGAGCAATTTGATTAGCTTGAGACATCTTCACTATTATGATACTGGACGCGAAATCCAAATGCCATCCAGGATTGGACGATTGACTTGTCTTCAAACGCTAGAGTTCTTTAGCATAGGTCGTCAAAAGAAAGGTCGTGGTATCCAAGAGCTTGGAACCTTGGAAGATCTTAAAGGCTCCTTGGAGATCAGAAATCTTGAATTAGTAAATGGCAAAGATGATGCTGAACTGGCGAACCTATCTAAAAAGCCAAATATGTATCGGCTGGTATTTGAGTGGGGCAATAGGGATCGGGAAAGTAATAATTGTGATGAAGATGTTTTGGAAGGCCTCCAACCTCACCCAAATTTAAAAGAGTTACAAATTTTGAAGTTCATGGGTGATCAGTTTCCACAATGGTTCATGAATTTGACATTGACATCACTGGCGGAGTTGCGTGTGGAGGATTGCACAAGATGCAGAGAACTCCCTGCACTAGGACAGCTGCCATTCCTCAAGCGCCTCTATTTGACTAGATTGGAAAACACAACATGCATTGGGCTTTCATTCTACAGTAGCACTATTAGCAGACAAACATTCTTTCCAGCCCTTAAAATTCTCTCTCTTGAAAGCATGAAAAATTTGGAAGAGTGGAAGGACGCACACGAAATGAGGTCAACCGCTGACGTGTTTCCCGTGCTTGAAAAGTTATCTATTAGTGACTGCCCCCAGCTGACCACCATTCCAACTCCAAGTCGTTTCCCAAGTCTTGATGTATTGAACATTAAAAAAAATTGCCATGTTTTGCTGGCAGAAAAGGTTTTGAGCAATATAGCCAATCTCTCGTCCCTTGAATTAAGGGGTCGTCAAAGCATCAAGTCTCTAAAATTAGTGAAACGACCAGAGAGCAGCTTGAGAATTAATGGCTGTGACAGTCTACCCACTGACATGCTTGAGCGACTCTGTCTTTTTCCAACTCTTCAGCATGTAAAATTGATGATTGCCAAAAATATAACAACATTTAGAGGAATGAGTTGCGCCGCATGTCTTAAGAGATTGGAAGTCACTTTATGTGAGAATTTACGGGAGTTGCCAGATGATCTCTATCAATTTCAAGCTTTAGAGCACTTGAAGATACGGGGTTGCCCGAGAATTGATTCATTTGGATATCCAAATCCTAAAAATTCATTTGGACAGAAAAGCCTCCTTAAGTCTCTTAAGCAATTTACTGTCGATGATTGCGATGCATTAACAAGATTACCAGTGGAGATGTTCGAGTCCTGTACGTCTCTCCGAAAGCTGAAATTGTTCGATTGCCGCAGTCTGGTCTCCTTTCCCCTTGATTTGCGACGATTCCCTTCTCTCGAGTGCTTCTCATTATACGGGTGTTCCAACTTGATTACTGAGATGCCTAGTGGATTTGGCTATCTTACCAGCTTAAGGGAAGTGTACATTGGTCCCTTCTCAGATGACTCTGTAATCGAATTTGATTGGGCTGGATTAGCATCTTCATCATCACTCCGACACGTGTCTTTAGGTGGGATGTTTGACACGAAATCTCTGCCACATCAGCTTCAAGACTTGACTACCATCACATCACTATCTCTAAAACACTTCGGAGCAATCGAAGCCTTACCAGATTGGCTTGGGAACCTCGTGTCTCTTGAAGACCTAATCCTATCATGGTGCCCAAAGCTTGAATATTTACCCTCCACGGCTGCCATGGAACGCCTCAAATTAAGACGTCTGGAAATTCGTGATTGTCCTCTATTAACCGAAAGATGCACTCCTCAAAGCGGCTCCGAGTGGCCCAAGATCTCTAATATTCCAGAGCTTAAAATTGATTAAAAGTCGTGTGTTCTTCTCTCCTTTTTTCCTTCTATTTTGTCCTGTGTTTCTTTAACTGATTTTGTTCCACCTTTTGTCTTGATTTTTAGTTTTAAGTTAGTTACTATTGCATTGCCATCTCCTATAAAAATAGGTGCAGGTGTTGATTCTTTGTTGCTCTTTTTTGAAAATGTAGTTATTGTCTGCATTTACCTTGTGCATGTTCTCTTTTCTTCTGCATTTTCTCATTTCATCTTAAGTTTCCTCCTTTTTGCTGCTGCTTGCTTGCTTGCTGTTCTTGATGGTGCGTGTGTTCTTCTCTCTTTTTTTCCTTCTATTTTGTCCTGTGTTTCTTTAGCTGTGTTTGTGTTTAATCTATTTTGTTCCATCTTTTGTCTTAGTTTTTAGTTTGTAGTTGGTTACTATTCCATTGCCATTTCCTATAAAAACAAGTGCAGGTGCTGAATCTTTGTTGATCTTGTGAGTCCTCGAAATTTTACTTGTTTTTATAGCACTTATTTAAATTTACTTGCCTTAAATTCTTGGTTGTTTTAATGATTGAATCATGATTTTTCTTTTATTATATTATTTAATTTGGTGCATGTTAAGTTTCATAGTACACTAGTGTGATCGACTAGTGAGGTGTGTGCAATAAATTTCACTGCAAACTTTTGATTAATTGCTTCTCATTATTGGATATTGCTGTTCTTCACCATCTTATTCTATCCGTATTTGTCCCACACTCTTTTTCTCTGTAAATATCTATTCCTCTACTTCTTTTGGAGAAGATTACTCTCTCTTTCAATTTATAAACTAATTCTTGTCATTAACAAAGTAGAGTTATGAGCAATTTGAAAGACAACAAAAATTGTGGATTTCATCTGCCTTTTTGAACCATCAAAAGGATGAATAAACATGGTAAAATATACTACTATATATGAACTTGCTGACTGTTTGCCCACAAAATTCACTAACATTGCAAGCGTAAACATGGTATGTTCTTTTTTTTTTTTTTTTTTTTTGTTACTGATATTTCCAAACAACATTAAAACCAATGAAACAGCAATTTGGGAAGAACATTACAATTTTTGTTTTTACCGCTGGCATTTAATAGATGGATATGTTCTTAATATTCACTGTTATCTCTCTGTAAGCCTCTGCATTATGATTGCCATAAAATTAGCTCAATGTCGATCAAGTTGAAATTGTTTGCAGAGGAACTAGGCTGCTGCTCAAACTATAAATTCTTATCATCCTTTAAAATTTTTAAAATTCAGATACTAGCTACTTTTCTATTTTGTGAATTGGATTGATAATATTATGGCGTTGTAGGCCACAAGTGTCAGTGAAGCAGCAAGCAGTGATAGTGCCGAAAACATTGCGAAAGGCTCGAAAGTGTGCTTAAGGCAAAGTCAGCCTGGAACCTCTAAAGCATCTTATTGCACTTTTCACATTCTCCAACTGCAACATCTAAAGCATCTAAGGCTGTGGTTTCCAATCATTTTTGAAGAAAGATGAGGAGGTATGTGGTTTGGAAATTTCTCCACCCAACTTACTTGTAGTACAAGGGAATTGGTCCAAGTTTGCAAGTATGTTTGAGACATGGAATTGTGCCTAAATGCAGGTTGGTATCTGCGCTAGTAAGTGTTCTTTATGGCTTAATCAATGGAATATAACTTGATTTTTGCTCTTTAGGATTTTGAGTGATAAATTGTTGCACGAGTTACCTGACCAAACCTTTCTATGGCTCATATTTCTACTTAATGTCATAACTGAAGCAGAACTGTGATGTAATATTGTTATTTTTTTTCCAGAATTTGTTTAGGAAGCAGAGTACATGTTTTTTTGGACAAAGAACACCAACGTTCCCATGTTGTTCTTATGAGAATGTCAAGAGGGAGGAGTTATTTTCGCTTATCAGTCAGATTTTGAAGATGGAAGGTAGTTATCTGTGATTTTTCCCACCAGAATGCCATATATTGCTCAGAATGTGGAAATGAAGGTAAAAAATGTTGACTGCATGTCTATTGGCCTGTTTCAATGGCTTTTCTTTTTTGTTTTTTTTAATCTATTTTCTGGAAGTATTTAACAAAATAAATCAAATATTGAACCTTTTCTCCTTGTAGCATGCTGAAAACAGAGTGGCTTGTGCCACGCTTGTAGAAAGTAGTATGGATTGAGAAGAGTTGGAGAAGAGCATGGTAGCTGGTACTGGAGAGCTATCAAGGTACAAGACTTGCTTGAAGAAAACTGGACGGGCTAATACTTTAGTTTCAGAGGTGACAAGATTTGATGGAAAGAAGTTAGACATTGTAGACAGCATTGGTGATCGTTTGGATGACATAAACGAAGCATGCGATTGCAGTGTCAGTCATTCATTTGGATGGAATCAGTTCAAAGTTTTGCTGCTGCAATTGCGGCGGCAAAAATTTCTACATTCTCGTTCAAAGGTTCCCGCCAGATCTTGCAAGGCCTTTGTAAATTGGACTACAGGTTATACCTTTCCACTCAAGAACAAGAGAGACTCATGATACAACTGTGCTAACAGTTAGTCATTACTTTATTTTCAGGAAGAATCACAAGGACAATTTATGCAAATTCGATTGACTTTTGCTACCATTACTTCCTTCTGGGTTTGTTAATGCTCTGTTTTTTAGCCTTTCATTTTTGGTTATCTAGTAGATTGGTGATTTTTCCATCCTACTTGCATAAGGACTTGCTCATGATAAAATATTTATAGAAATATCTATTTTAGCATTTTAGACAAATGTCTCACGGGCTATGTTGGAACATGTAGGAAGCAGTGGTTTCAAGCAAAAGTGTATGGATGGTGATGTGGTAGAGAATTGTTCTCTTAAGGAGTGAAGATCAATCTTCTAGGAAGCAATATGTGACAGAGTAGATGAAGAGGTACGTACTCTCAATGAATTAAATTTGAAGGCCTACAATGTTTCTGTTGCTGTTGCCTTAACTTCAAATCAATCACATACAAAAGCTATGCTCTGAATTTAGTATGCTTTTTTTATGATGTAATTCTGCTTAATATTTGCTCTTTAGAAATTTTTGTAATACATTCTTCTTAAGTTTTGATGGTTCAACGTGGCTAATTTTACACTTAATATTACCGTAAGGTAACATGGTGATGTTTTTTTCCTGAATCTATTTAGGAAGCAGATATCATCTTGTTGGAAAAAGAACAACATGGTTCCCTGTCGTTTTTTGTGAGAATGTCAAAAGGAAGAAATTAATGTCACTGAGCAGGAAGGTTTTGCAGATGAAGATGGTTACCAATTACAGTTATTTTGCTCATTAATTTGCACTAGCATTGAAAGTATTATGTTCTGTAGTGCTCGGAATGCAGAAATGAAGCTAATGATTTGGCTAAACTTTTTGTTAGCCTGTTTCGATTTTTTTTCTTTATCTATCTTCTGGAAATGTAATTTGGTTCAGAAGAAGAGAAGATTTGATGATGGAAGCTAGATGTTGAAGATAGCAGTAACAGTCATTGGGAAAGCAAAAGCAAAGCATGTAGTGGGATGGCAGAAATTCAAAGATTATGTGCTGCAAGAATATGTATTCACATGCAAGGGTTTCTAAGTCCTCATTCAAAGGTCCCGATGCACATCCCAGATCTGCTACTCTTATGCACTCTGCCTCTGCTAGGTAAACTTGACAAAACTCCTGAATGCTCCGATTGAGTGCATGGTTGACATTCATAAACACTAATCTCTGAAGGGTAGAAACTCATTTAGAGATCAGTCACAGAATTATATATAGCATAGCTTTCCTCTGATATGTATCACTTACTTGAAATGCTGAATTTTTGGCATAGCTTTCCTCATCTTCCCCTCCTTTCGTGTGAAGAATTTGTTCCATTTCCAGTACCTTGCTGCTATTCTGCAATTTGGAGTTATGTTAAAGGTGAGGAGGGTAAGGGTAGCAGTAGTAACAATCTAGCTATTGCTATACATGTCAAGGACAAGGGTACTTTGAAGTTGGCAGGAAATAAAATGAGAATTGATCAGAAACAATATTCATCAGTAGTTAAGGGAATATTGAAAGGCTTAAACTACAATCAAACTCAATGTGTAAATAAGATATTAAGCTACATTAGTACTATGCTTGACCAGTGAAATGATTTTGAGCTGAACTACATATGAAAGTCACTAGAAATACTTGTGGGATGTCAAACATCTTCTCTTTTAACCTGCTTTACTCTCTGAAATAAGCATTTGCCAAGCATCATTATCATTCAACATATGACTAAGTATATATGCTGCTCATGTTCTTCCTAAGCATGCTAGTTTCGTCAACCGATCAAAATGTGTGGGAGCATGATGCTCCAACTTAACTGTTTTTGCTCCTTCTATCCAACCTTAATTGATGGTAAACTCTAAAAACTAATATATCAAGATAACTTCACCAAATGAAAATCTCGTAAGATGAGAACAATTGGAACAAACCTATTCAGAAAGTCAAATTAATCAGCAGTCACTATTTTACCAGAAAGGAATTGAAAATACCACTAGATTGGCTTACTTCTGTCTCTTTATTATGATAGAAGACACCACATTCTTGACCAACTTAGGAGTTCGATGATTTCCTTTGGGTTAATCTAAAATTCCTTACTAGTTTTGTTCATGTTACCTCCGTTTTGCAGCAATGACACCCCGAGAGGCACACATATATGCGCTGTTTGGTTAGTTGTTGATGGGGTGTTTCTACAAAAACTGTACATATTAATCGTTTGCATCAGCAACAAAATTCAATCGATATTTCTTCATTCAGTGTTCAGAGAAGTGATCTAGCCTTTTAGCCAATTAACAAATTTTGATTTCTTGAACAAAGTATATGAATGTGACAAGCCTGAGACAAAGTATATTTCTTCCCCACTGCCCTAATGCAAATATAATACATAAAATCACAAAACGAAATATAAGGAAAAAAATCCTTTTAGATAAGAAAAAATGCAGCATCCACCAGTAGACATAAGGCAGAAAGAAAGCCAAAACTGGTACAGAGATAACTTGTACAATAGTGCTGACATACTAAGCCAAAAGCTTAGGGACAATCACACACATCAGTTAATATTCGTGGGAGCCACCCCAAGTCAAAGACGCAATATGACTATGTAACAATCTCATTGAATATTGTCCACGAAATTGGAAAACAAACTTCTTCAAGAAAAAAAAAATTGCTACTAATTGTTCAACCAAATGCTATGGTAAACAATGCTGATAAGACTGAAAAAGGAAAAAATAGAGAGAGAGAGAGAGAGAGAGAGAGAGAGAGAGAGAGAGAGAGATAAAGAAAAGATGGCATGACTCAAGCTGCGGCTAAAAATGCGAAGCATAAGGTTGGAGAAAAAGAAAAAGAAATCAAAAGAAAGAAAATAAAAGAAAAAGATGAAGAAAGTAAGTACTTGCCTTTGAAAGTATAAGAACTGCAAAATCAAAGCAAATACAATATTGGATTTAAAATCTCAACCTAGAACATTAGTAAATTGCAGAAATAATAAAAACAAAAACTATTTTAGATTAAGAAATCAAACCTGCGCATATGGTTTAGGCACAAAACTGAACTTTATTGGAAGAATTTGAGAGATTAATGGTGAGATGATGAAGGGAGGAATGATTGGTGTGAGAATTCATTGAAGGAAAGTAGGTAAAAATTATCTAGGAACAAAAGAATGGAAGAAGTCTTGACTGTTGAGCTTGCTGATCAGTAGTAATAATTGGGCTAGGTTGCACCTTCCAAGACTCTCGAATATATTATCATTTCAATGCATAGTTGTGCTGGTGTTAAATATTTTAGAAAGTTTAACTCATATAACCATTTGAGGCTGGTGATCATAAAACATTGATGAATGTGCGGGAAGAAGTAAACTACTGATCGAAGTTTTATAAGCAAATATATCTACATTTGTTAAGTAGTCAATGTATGAAAGCATAGGGAAGAAGAAATTATATTGTAAGAGCAGGGGTGATATAAATATAATATTTACACCCTTGAGGAGTTCTGCACCCATATTTTGTGAATTTCTTTCCAGTATAATATATTCTTCAACATCGCCTAGTCCATCACCATTGTAGCCCAGAATGTCAAAAGCACCAGCACCACCACAAGCACAATCCAGAGGCTGCTCAAGGAAATCTACTTCTCATGTGCTTGTCATCGAAAAGCTGCCTTTGAGGGTCCTGTTTTTTTAATATAAGAGTAGAGGTCTTTTGCCGCTCTTGTATAAGAGTAGAAGTCTTTAGGGTAAGCATAAAAGTAGATACAAGCCAGTGCCATGGTTAGTATTAAACGCTAGAATTTTCAATCCAAAGCTATTTTGTTTTTTTCTTTACCGTCCCATACTTCCTTGATCGTTAAGCAAATTTTGACCAAACGCAGCAGATGTCTTTTTTTTTTTTTTTGGCAGTTCGAATTCAGTTTAGCATATATACTGCCAATTAGCTTTTATGTTCTCTATCATAACCCGTGAATTAGTTTATTTGCATTCCCACATTATTTCACACCAATTCTCGTCTTTAAACCTGCTTCAATTTTTAATAGAAGCAGTTAGCAGAAGTCCCATTTCGACACAAACAAAAATGTACAAACAAGTGTCACATGGTAGTATGGTACTAATGTAGGGCTGCAAACGAGTCGAGTCGAGTCAAATTTTGGACTTATCAAGCCGAACTCAACTTAATAATAGGTAGGCTCGAGTTCGAACTCAAGCTCGACTCCATAAGGCTCGCGAGCTGTAGCTCGATTTTTGGCTTACGAGCAGCTTGAATTGTTAGCTCGTGATGTAGCTCAAATTTTTGACTCGTGAGCAGTCCGTTAGCTCGAGTTTCTGAAAATTATTCTAATTAAAAAAATAAATAATTATTTTTTCTTAATAAATAATAAAATATTGGGGATATATATATAATTTTACTATTAAAATAATATATATATATATATATATACATATATATACACTCGAACTCGCAAGCCGGGTTAACAAGCTTAATATTTTAAATTTGAGTTCGAGATCGAATTCGACTTGGTCGACTTGAGCTCGAAATTGATCAAGCTCGACTCGAGGTCGATATTGATCGAACTCAACTCGAGCTAGCGGCTCGGTTCGTTTGCAACCATATACTAATGATGTTTGTAATCTCAAGCAAAATCAAATCAATGTGGTTGACATATGCCAACCTTTTCGACAGATTTTATTAGATTATGTTTAATATTAGAATAATTTAATTAGTAGTTAAATAAATCTTGTTGTTAGGATATTTGTTAACTAAGAATCATATGGTTTGTTAATAAATATTTTAGCTAAGATTTGTTGAGTAGGAGACTATGTTATTAAGTGTTCTGTTGAGATTTTTTAGGATAATTGTTAGTTAGACATTTTGTTAGTTTGTTTCATATAATCACTATAAATAATGAGTTGATAAATAAATAATATAAGCTTATTTTCAGTTTCAATACAAGTCTCTTATAAGCCTTTTTTTTTTTTTTGCAATACTAAGATATTGTTTCTTAATTTATGCCCCAAAAAAACTGACACAGTAATATCAGAGATTATGTCTTAATACCTGTGTTGTTTTTTGAGAGTGAGTGCATTCGATGAGGATTTTTTACAACTTCAAAACCATGATAGGAAAGTATTTTTTGTCAAATGTGTCAACTTTTAGTGGTGAAACTCACCAAATTTAGGCCATTAAATTTTGGACTTATTTGGTAGTCAATAATCTATGGGATGTGGTGCGACACAAATTTTGTATTGCCGGTATTTGAAAAATCGATGGATACATAGATTAAAAACCGTAGAGTTGTAGTTAGACAGAGATCCAAGACCAACATTCACATATCATTTGATGCCATTTTCACAAGGATAATGGCTTATTATTTGATTGAGAATAAATTTTTCCAATTAAAATGAAAAGAGAAAGTTTCATTATGAATTGGTTGGATTTTGACAATTCTGAAGTAAAGCATGATGAAATCAAGAATTCAAATCCTAAAAAATTCAACAAGAGATCATTAATAAGTTAGGAGGTACCAAATTGATTCCTGATAGATATCAAGATTATAATATTGTTGTTTTGAATCTACAAGTTTTGATGGTGATGAAGAATCATGTAGAATTTCATATTTTCTGTACAAGTTCAAATATTATCGAATAGTGTTCCACTTTGAACCTATAAGAAAGTTATTTGGAAACATAAAAAAAAAAAATCTTTTATTTGAAGTTTGGCATGAGAAGACAAAAGAAGTGGTTTGTTGCAAGACTAATCTTTAGCTTGCATAAAAATCCAAAAGAATAAATTCATTGCAAGGCTAATCATGTGTAGAGCTTCTTATAAAAGTTTTCTCCGAAACAAGATCCAAAAATTTGAGAATGCAATTCAAAATCTACAGCAAAAGTGGCAAGGAAGAGTGTTGAGATATATCAATTTTTTCGATAGATTTTATTAGATTACGATTGATATTAGAATAATTTAGTTAGTAGTTAAATAAATCTTCTTGTTAGGATATTTGTTTACTAAAAAACATGTGGTTTGTTAAAAAATATTTTAGATAAGATTTGTTGAGTAGGAGATTATGTCATTAAGTGTTTTTTTTTTTGAGAGTTTTTGGGATAATTGTTAGTTAGATATTTTGTTACTTTGCTTCATTTATTACTATAAATAGTGAGTTGATGAATAAATAGCATAAGCTTATTTTCAATTTCAATACAAGTTTCTTATAAGTTTTTTTTTTTTTTTGCAACACTAAGGTGTTGCTTCTTAGTTTATACCCCAAAAAACCTACAAATGTGATATAGTAATTGATTAGTACAACTAATCTATAAGAAAAGCTTAATCCACTTAATAGAAGATGAGTTAAGTTCCTATCAATCTTTTCTCTCTTGTCATCTTTCTCTTGGTCTTGGGCCTCTGCTTTGCTCCATCTACCTTGGAAGGGGGATCAGATTCTTTAAAAGAAAAACCAACTAAACTGGTCTTGCTCCCCATCCAACCTTAATTCATAGTCAAAATCTGAAACAAATAGATGGAGACTAGCTTACCAAATGAATAGAAGTCACACATTATGATAGAAGTCACACAAAATTCTTAACTAGTTTAGGAGTTTGATTATCTTCTATAGACTAATATCACGCTTCTTTAGTAGTTTTTATCATGCACCTCCGTACTGCAACAACGACATCCCGGACGCATACATTTGTTTGCATCATCTCAGTTTGTCACTGACAAATAACTTTCTGTTTTAGATCAACTTGGTAGTCGATGTATTGGGACGAAATTAGTAGTTATTTCCTTATTGTGCGTTATGGAAAGTGATCTAACCTCCTAGCCTATAACCATGTTTTGACTTCTTGTACCAAAAAAAAAATGAAGAAGAAGAAGAATACAGCAAGTGTATCGCAGAACATTCTGCCTGGAAAAAGAGTACATAAAAGCACTTAAAGAAGCACCTATACCCAGTAACAGGCTAACAGCAGTAGGTAATATAAACATTATATCAAACCGTATGTAGGATCCTTTGGAGGCTTTTTACAATCTGAGAACTCACAAACATGCAGGCTCCCCTTTTCTTGCTACAACCAGTGTGAATAAGAACAATTAATCTGAATATTGCAATGTTATCGTGGCAAGAACCCATGACGAGAAATGGCAATCTCAAATGCCTGCATTCTATCTCCTCTTGCAAGACCATTGCGATCATATGATGAAATTTCATTTATGTCAAGATCGATGCACACCTTGACGAGCTCTTCACCAACACGTTGAGCTGCTTCCTGATATTAATAATTGCGTAAAATCAGATCTATATTCGATACAGTAAACCTCATTTGGTCAAGGACAAACTCAGCTTATCCCAATTAAAAGCATTGAAAAGAAAGAATGAAAAAGGAATACTATTTTTTCAACTATTTATATGTTTCCAATTGCGTCCAGTTTACTGAAATTTTGGTGCATAATTTGGAAGGGAGTAGAGAATTGTGGTGTTAATTTGAGAGGGAGCACTGACAATGGTGGTGCAAGATAGATCCTGGCGAATTGATTTCTGTAGAGTGCTGCCGTAGAACAAACACCTTTTGTTCTGATCATCTACTACCATAGCATATAGCTGCTTATCTGAACAGAAAACTGATAGCCTTGGTTTTGTTGCTGTGCCATTAAACTGGTCAAGAGACGCAAGAACCATTATTTGCAAAGATAAGTGGAAAAGCAAGAACACTAAGCAAGTTATTCCACAAATTAAGATAGCATCAAAAATGAAACTTGCACTATAAGCTCATTGAAAATGAGTTCCTCAAACTCCACAAACAAATATCTAAAGTCCTACTTGTCAATGGGCTGAACATATCTTTCCAAGTACGCATATTTTGTAATTCCAAAGACAGAAGCATACCTTTTTTCTCAATCTAATGTTTCGGGTTTTTGCACTCTCAGTCTTCGCATTGGCCTTTGCTTCAATCACCAATGGCTTCAGAGCTAGATATTTACAAAGTGATAAGACAACTGAGATAATGGGACTATTTCAACGCAGAGAATTCAATGTGCAATTCTATGCGTCAAAAAGAAATTTAAAAAAGACAGCGCCACAAACACCATCCTTTAATTACAAGCAGTTTGACTTCATTTTGTATGTGGATGTACACACATAAGTAGCTGCGACAAAGAATGAGAAACAGAGGAACAATATTTTGATTCGTTTTCACTGTTGGACTATCAGGTCAGAGGCACGTCATTTTCCCATTTGCTAAATTAATCACGATTGAAGTTCTCTCCTCCTTCCGTTGTGAGCTTGAAATGAGCAATAATGAACTTCAATTTTCTTGGTTTCGGGATTTAGTCAGGCTAAAAAATGATTGAAATTTATTATCGGAAGATTATACAGCTGACTTCATGCAGAAGTGACCCGATGCTCACTCCTGTTGAACAGCAAAGCCCCCCTCTCTTCAAAATGTGCTGCCTAACAGATTCTTTAACTTACATACAATTGAAAAAGTTCCACATGAATCGTAAAACCCATAAGAAGGAAAAGGGAATATGGTACTAATTAACAAACTCACAAGCTCGTTTCTTGGGAAGGATGTTATCAAAGTGATGCAGATCAGAAGTTCCAAAGAGCTGACAAGTCTTCAACTGCAGCTGCTGCAACCCGGAAGTTAATGCACCCATTGCCGCCATTCGGGTCCAGAGGATTTCGTTACAAGAACCCATATGGTGCCACGATCTGAAGACCAAAAAGACAAGCAACAGTGGATAACAGGCTCTTTCAGTAATTTTTGCAAACATCATACGTGCAATAAAGTAACAGCTGTGCCGTATAAGGCGCGGCTAAGGAAACGCTTTTAATAGGGTGCTTTCTAGACTGCCCAAAGAAATTTGAAGAAATCTAAGACAACCCCTCAAATTTACAATTTGGACCTGACGAGTTTTGTAATATCATATTTACCTCTAAACAAAACCCGATAGCTTTTGCAAGTACAACAACCAACACAAGGTGGGAGAATAATGTACCACTAGTGGAATTAACATTAACATAAATTATAAGGACATAATTTCAGAAACTTCCCTCGAGGTTGAGGTTGCTGATAATTTTACTGCCTTTTTAAAGGTTTTAAAAATATCAGTGACCTCCTTTGAAACTAATTTTCTTGGGACAAATCAACCCAAATAATTTCAAAGGTGAGAAGAACATTTGAATTCACAAATGCCTCTCAACTATTTACTTGTTAGTGGACTTAGAATCAAAAGGGAAAAATAGTTAAATATGCAAAATAAACACCACAGTCAGAGAGTGTCGTATAACTGGAGGAAATTGCAACGCTAACATGAGCATAGTAGAATTCAACAGTAACAGCTAGCTACTTTTCTATGGAACAACATAAATTAGTAAAACCAAAGAATTGGAATGGAGACTTTGTTAATTTGGAATCAAGAGTTGCAGGTTCAATTCGTGAACTTTTAGCACTGGAATTTGTAAGATTTGAACAGGAATTGGACAACAAAAAGTATGGCCTCTTCAAAAAGAAACACCATAATCTATTGCTTATCATGAAAAATATAAAATATGCTAAATGATGTCCTTTTTTTTAAATTATTTCTTTCATTTATAGTCCATTATTTCACATGATTAATAAGAAATTCCCATTGTTTGTAATCAAAAGATAACAACACTTAGTTTAATGTTCAGATCAATAAAAAGCAAATGATTTTATTGGAAAAAAAAAGAGGAAATAATAGTGGAGAAAATCGATTTCAAGCCATCTTTTTTGGATTATATAGACACTGAAAAGAAAATAAATGCCATTTTTTTTGAAAAAGAAAGGAAAGGAAAAAAATTATGTGTAGTTACATTTTACCCGTAACTTAATAAGACTAATTTGTAAATGTATTTCAACACTTTACCCTCTTTAATTGTGTATTTTTGGTATTGATCTTGTTATTCTTATGAAATTCTAAGAAAAAATAATATATCAACATAAATTTTAATATATTCTTTAGGGGAAGAATTTATAACAACTACTAAAATATAGAAAAAAGATAGGATTCAAATTTTCCAAAATTTTTACATTCCAAATTATGATAAATTTCGTTACAATTGGTTCAATTATTTCTCTCTATATAATTAAGTAAAATCTCTTAAGTTGTAAAGGTAATAAAGTCATTTGACCATCGATAAGGTAAGCATTGAGTCCCAAATAACTAACAGAGGATGTAAGTAATATTTCAAAACTTCAAAAGAGGGCAATAAAACTATTAGAAATCTCAGGAAAGATTTCTAAAAGCATCCCTAAATTATACAATTATTCTCAATTGATGCAAATGAAAACTCCAATTGATCCTCCACAAATGGAAATTTTTTTTATAGAAAACATAATATTAATAACTACAAAATCAAATAATAATCACCAATAGTGTTATAGTGATAAACGATAATGAATAGCTTGGACATAGTCTAGAGAAACTTTAAACAACGGAAGGAAAATTCTCAAGTAAAATAAAATGTAAATTTCTCTCCATGTCGCATTTTATTTTCCTTGTAAATAGAATGAATACATCATGGATCCTAAATAACAAATTTGAACTTTTAACAATTGATGGCCTAATAATTTTTGGATATATATTAATGAATTAAAAATTCTTTGAACAATATACTTAGAGTGGTGCGAGACAGCAGTCCTTGAAACAAATTAATGAGAAAGGTATTAAGTGAGACTTTGCTTATATAGGTCAAAACAAACATTTTGTCATAGTTAAAACATATAACTATTCAAGCAAACATGCCAACATCCATTTCTCCTCTCTATTTCTTTGAATGGTAATACTAATTTTTACAATTCAAAAAAGTAAACACATAACCTATAATCTTGCTATTTTTGATTTAGTGGGACTAGTAGTATTTTACACTTTCTTCTCTATTTTTTCCATTTTTATCTTGGATTTGGCTCACCATGCCATGTTTCAGCCTTTGTATATCCATGTATCTTTGACACAAGAATTTGCCAAGAGAAAGTCCACAAGAGGCCACAGATGCGTTCACTGCTTTAGCGATAATGTTTTTTCCTCCAACTTCTTCCAATAGGTTTGTAGTTATTGAATTACCAAGATGTCAAGTTTGCCTTTATTGTACATAATGTCAGGAACTTCACAATAAGAAGGTTGACGTTTTATTCAGTGGAGTGTGCGTTTTGAGTATGGTTAGTAGAGGGTGAAAACTACGTTGTTAGACTTAAAAGATAGTTGTTCCATTAGCTGCAGTTAGTTAGAAATAATTGCATAAATAATCCCTTTTTGTAACTGAAGGTTGTTGAGTAAATTTTCAGTTGAATATTCTTCTCTCTCCTTTCTGTTATTCCCTCTCTCTCTCTCATTTCCTGCTCTCTTCCCTCTCTCCCTTCTTCTTTGTCTCAATTCCTGCTTATTTCCTTTGGATTCCGGCCAGAACTCAGGTAGCTAAATCTCCAAGCCTGACATTTGGTATCAGAACAGCTGATCCTTGGCTATTGAGATACTACCATGGCGGAAAACATTAGGTATCGATCACTGGAAGATCAGCTTAAAAAACAAGAGAATAGACTACAAGAGATAGCAGAAACCATGGCCACATTCAGACATCTGGATAGAACAAGTTGCAGCAAAAAATTCATGATGAAATGGAGCACAATAACTCCAAGTTGGAGGCATTGGTAGGGAATCTGAATTAAAAAAATTAGCAAGATGGAGCAAAAGTTCAATGCACTGTTGAAGGTAATGATGAAGGAGAAAGGACCACAGGACTGTGACGGAGTATCATCAAAACCACTTCTACCAACCCCGCCCCCACATCTGAGACTAATGACTCCAATTGAGCTGGTAGGTCACCAACAGGTCAGAGGTAAAATGTTAGTACCTAATTTGCCAGATTGGAGCTACCTATGTTTTCTTCTAGTAACCCTAGGGAATGGTTGAGAAAATGTCACAAGTATTTTCTGAATTATCAAGTACCTGCGAATTAGAAAGTAGCGTTGGTTCAAATGTTCTTGGAGGGAAAAGCTGATAACTGGTTCCAAGGGGTGAAATTAGCAAGACCTGGGATGTCCTGGGAGAAATTCAGTGAGTTGTTGTGCGAAAGATTTTCTGGAAAAGGTTCCCTTGACATAGTAGAGGAATTCAATAAATTGCAACAAAAAGGTACAGTAGAAGAATATGAGGAGAAGTTCGAGGAGTTTAAGACCCCAATGCTAACCAGGAATCCAAAATTAGATGAATCCTACTTTGTTTCCAGTTTTGTTAGTGGCTTGAAAGAGGAGATCAAACCTATGATAGAAATGTTTAAACCACAGACAGTAGCCAAACCCTTTGAAGTGGCTGAACTGCAAGAAAGCTACTTGGACACCCAGTCAAAGCAATCTAAGCCTTCTCACAGGATTGTAGTAGAACCAAAGTTTGGGATGTATAGGAACTCTGTGAGTGGACAGAATCACCACAACTCATACAAGCTGCCTGCAGTTGCTCCAGTCTCCAAGAAGGCTGATACCACACATAGATAATTCAGTAAGATTTTAGCTGAGGAAATGCAGTATAGGCGTAAACAAAACTTGTGTTACAAATATGAAGAAAGGTTTGGGGTAGGCCATCAGTGCAAAACAGGGAACCTAAACTGTATAGGTGTTGATAAGGAAGAAGAAACTGACTTTGAGGATATAGAAGGGGAGCAAGATGAGCATACAAGTAGAGTTGGTGATACTTGCTGAGGTATCCCTAAATGCTTTGTCTGGAGCTATAAAGAGGAAATCCATTGTGTTGATAGGTAACCTGGGAGGACTACCAGTCAAGATTCTGGTAGATGCTGGAAGTTCTGATAGCTTTGTTCATCATAAGGTTGTCAACCTGCTGCATCTGCCACATCACTTAGTCAATCCCTTCATTGTGACCTTAGCAGATGGGACAGACATAACAAATAGGGCAATCTGTCCCAAGGTAACCTGGCTAATCCAAGAGTACCAATTTCAGTTTGACCTAAAGATAATGGAGTTGGGAGGATGGGATATTATCCTGGGAGTGGACAGGATATGTCAATTCAGCCCTATTACCTTCGACTTCCATACTCTCAGCATTGCTCTTAGCAGCAGAGGAGATTTACTACACCTTCAAGGCTTTGTACAACGACTTACAATGGGACTGGTGAGAAGAAAGGACCTCAGATCCTTCATACAGGAAAAGCAAAGGAGCTGGGCAACCATGCAGGCAGAACTAAAAGGGGATTCAGAGGAAAGCCTTCTTGAGACTATAGAGAAAGTTCTGCAACAACATTCCCAAGTGTTTGCCACCCCACAAGGATTACCCCCAAAGAGGGAGCTGGATTACCAGATTGTTCTTAAACCAAAAGCTAAACCCTTCAAACTCAAACCATACAGGTACCCCCATTCCCATAAAACAGAAATTGAAAAACAGGTTGCTAAAATGCTTTCAAATGGGATCATTATACATAGCACTAGTCCCTTTGCCTCTCCTGTGATATTAGTTAGGAAGAAGGACAACTCCTGGAGATTATGCATTGACTACAGGAAATTGAATGATTTAACTGTGAAAAACAGCTTTTCCATACCAAATATAGATGAGTTACTAGATGAGTTGCATGGTGCCGAGTACATGTCCAAACTAAACCTTAGAGCTGGCTATCATCAACTGAGAGTTAAGGCAGTGGACACACCAAAAACTGCTTTCCAGACACATCATGGTCATTTTGAATTTCTACTAAAGCCCTTTGGGCTGACCAATGCACCTGCCACTTTTCAAGCCCTGATGAACAAGATATTCCAGCCATATCTAAGGAAGTTTGTTTTAGTTTTTTTTGTTTTGATGATATATTGATTTATAGCCTAAATTTAGAGTCACATGCACAACACCTGCAAACAGTGCTCAAAGTTTTGGCTGAAAACTAGCTGTG